CAGAAATGCTTTATCTCAGTGGGATAACGAATGGGAAAGATGAACTTATACCGAAGAACTTGTGTCTCCTACCAATCTGTGCAACCTTTTCATCAAGAACTTTTAAACTGGGATGACTAGCATCCAGCATCCGGGTGGGCTCTGATATGCAGAAGAAAGGTCTAAAAACAGCCCTGTGGAAATAGTTCATCTTCCAAAATTTAGCTTGATGGAAAAAACAAAAAACCCTTGGGCGGGAAGCAAAAATTCTTCTTTCTTTTGCCAAAGACTTTCCTGCCCTGAAAAGACTTTTCTTGTTCAATAAAATTTAAAATAGTAAAATAATTAAACCAATGCCAAGGTGAATTGTTGCCATATGTTCTAGGGGCTGCATATAAAGATGGATTTGGAAACTTCAGCCAGCGCAGCATGAGACACAGTACTTACACTCTGTAGCACTCCAGAGACCACAATAACTTTGGAGACCAGCTCGTACCCTTAGTTGGCTTTTGCAACCAGGGTACCCTGTGCACCCTTCCTTTCTACTACCCTGACAGGATGGTATGGTTCAATGTCACTGAAGCAACTGGAACTTTAAAGGTGAAAATGACTAAGTTTTGTTAAAGACTATTTTCTCACTAGCAAGTCCATCAAAAAGGAGGACCAAAGAGAGTAATAAAAGTCTATGGAGACTGAAAATGTGGGGAATAAACAGTTTCTCATGTACAAAGTTGAAAGAATCAAAGACATCTTAAAAAAAAAAATAGTAAATTTTTCCCTGACAAGTCTTACAGTGATTTTTTTTCCCCCACAAGGAGAAGGGAAGAAATAGAGATATTTAGCAGCCCCTGGAAGTCTGCCAATGAGGTGAGCAGGAGGAGGAAGTGTGCAGGATTTGCCATATTCTCTTGCCTGTGTCCAGTGGCCACCTGTCCCCTACTAAACCTTGAGTCATTCCCTCCCTCGGCCATTGCTCTCCCTGGTGTACTTTTTTAATGCTGGGCCACTTCTTACTGTTTGGTCTGCTTGTACGTGAAGTACATTTGGTAGAGATGGGAAGAATTCTCTTCATTAAGGTCAGTAAGTGTTTGTAGCATCGGTAGATGCAACCTCTTCATGGCACTTCGTCTAGAACTATTATATACTTAGGTTGAAGACTTGCAGGAAGGGAAATGAAAGGTACATGAACACCTGCTGGATTTTTGATAGCTCTCATAAATTATCAGCTGGGAAGTAATTTCCAAGGTGTCAGCAGCATACTGTGCTAATGTATTTGCCAGTCTGTGGGATAGATTTACTATCTTGTATTTTGAACTTGTCTCAGCATCCTTTGCCAAATGCAATTGATATTTGTCGGGAAAAGGATGTTTAAAAAGCACACAAAAAAGAATCAGCATACCCCTTTGACTTGAGAAGCATCTGTAGCAAGGCGAGTTAGCAGAACACCAACAGCATTTTTCTGATCATCATACCATCCCATCTCCTGCAAGAAAAGACACTAATTCTTGTTTCAAAAAGTTTACATGTCCTTATTATATTCCATATTTATCAGGTTTACTAATAAAATACACAAATATTTCCATCGGCACATGTGGAAATGGAAGCACAAGTCATGGTGGCCATTTGCAATATACTTCCTCTGTAGTCAGCATCTTCCAAGTAACTGAAAAAGCTTAAAAAGTATTATTACTTTGTGCACATCTAACTGTTCACAATCAAAGTGTTATTAGCTATGATGTTCTTCTAATGTGCCTATTTAGAAACTTTTATTATAAACCCCTTTTACTCAATCCTTCCTTAGGCCTGAAGAGGTTAACTATTCTCTTTTTACAAAGAATTATCTATTCCATTAACTATAGAAGAATAACTGTTCATCCATATTTGTACACAGAGAAAGGAAGTGAGGCCTTTTTACCTCCAAAGGCTATGGCGGTGGGGTTTTTTAGCCACTAATTTTCCCTTTCCTAGTCACTTTCAGATGTTTTTGCGACAGACACACCCCAGTGGGTGTGTGAAGTGCCAAGTTATGCGTTCTCAAAAATTCCAGTGCAAGTAGCATGAAATTGCACAAATTAATAGGAAGGGTTTAATATGAGAAACTTTATTCTTCTCATTGGTAGTTCTTGATGCAATACATTAATTTGATTTTTTTTCTTTCAGTAAAAACATTATCAGATTGTCTATTTGCTATGGATTGCAGTATGTAGATTTAATACTAAATAACTAAACAGATTAGACTTAAATCTATACATTACATACATGCATTGTGACCACCTAAGCAAAGGGAGATTTAAATTTTTGGTCATCTTTAGAATCATGGAATAGTTTCAGCTGTAAGAGACCTTTGTCCCAGCCCTACCAACGCACAGACAGCTGCAAACTGTGAGTGTATAAACATGCCAGAAGAATGCACATTTTCAGTGACACTCCTTCAAAATTAGAATATTTTCAGTGGCAGCACTGAGCCAAATTACACATTGATTAGGAGATTCTGAGAGACGTTGTACTTTTTCCTAACCTCATGGTATAAGAGACATGTTATTGTTTTCTTTTCTCTAGACCACACAATTAAAATCCAATGTGTACCTTGTAAGAGCCTGCAAAAGCCATCTGGCTCTCATGATACCCCAGCTGCATAATTCATACCTGCTGAAGTAATGCTCTGAAGGACAAAGAGCGCAGCCTCATCGTTAATATTTCCCCGGACTTCCCAAACATGAACCCCTGGGGGAGGAAAAAAAGTCACATTTTCTCATATGATGCTTTAGCTCTCACCACAAAACTGATGACACCAAAAAGTCTCCTACAACCCTCTGTGCATATGTAAGTCTTGATAAAAATGACATTCACATTCCTGGAACCTGAAATTAATTTTTCCCACAGAAACACAAAGAAGTATGCAGAGAAGGCAGAAGCTTCTTGCAATGCCTTATTTGTATGCCCCCAGCAGCACTAAAGATAAATCAACCTATCTTGCCATTGGCCTCCCTACCCTGACTGGTAACAGGGCCGTGCCCTGACAGAGGTTGTACCAATAGATTTCAGGATATGGATGCCAATGCATGGTAACTGTTTCCTGAAAGCTGTGGAGGAGTCATAAGAGGACAGCAAATGATGAAGTTTGCTTGACATGATAAAAACCACTCTCTACTATGGAAAGAGTCTATTTTATACTTACTTTGGCAGAAGCCTATAGACTGTCAATGAGAAATGGCCTTGATTTTGTTTTTTAAGGCCAGATGCTCAACTTCGATTTCAATCATGCTGAACTCACATTGCCTTCAGTGGCTTGTTTAAATCAACAGCAAAGTCGGATGTATTTCTTTAAGTAAACACATCCATAAATCCCATATATCTCAGGAAGAACCCTGGCACTTCTGTCTGTTTTCCTAAGTTCTAATCGGCATTTTGTTTCTCAGACTGCATTGATATGAGTTATACCTGCAGCCTGCCGGGGAGTTAAGAACTTCCAACATTTCAGTGAAGCGACACTTACTTGGATTATGTATGCTGCTAAGGTAATCACTCCAAGCAAAAGAAACATTAAAGAAAGCACCAAAGTGTTTTTACTCCTCTTTTGTGTATCTGTTTCTTGAAAAGCCTGTGCAAGAAAACACACAAAAATGAATATATAGACAAGTGCCAGTTACATAAACCAGCCTTCATCTCAAGAAGCTTGTCTACTTTGATTTCTCTTAGCAGCTCTTCCAGATCCTGAAATCAGTCTGCAGTCAACTTTCTGTTGAGGGCCAGAAGACAGTCCAGCTTTTCATGTACCTACATCTTGCTGATTTGTTCCCGCACATCAAACTATTGTTCCTTCTTTCCTCTTCTAGCCAGAGAAGTGGGCTCTGCTTCTAGATAGTCGCCTCATCAGCATTTTTCCATTTTTCACTGGATCCATTTATAGAAGTGAATCCTACCCAGAGTCTTAGAGAGGGAGAACTGCTGGGCACAAGGGAGCCTCACAATGGCAATGTCCATTTGTGAAAAAACTCCTGACTTACCCCAATGATTTTTCCAAATATAACAGCAAATGCAGGATGGACCCCACCTATGATGGCAGCAGCAATCACTCCAAACAGTATATACAGCCACTCAGGTTTGTTCAGAGCCAGGATTCTTGAGTAAGACACAGCAGGCAGATTTTCGTCCTATGGGAAAGGGAAAGATGTAAGTTTTCCTTGGAAAGTTGCAGAATGCAAAATTCCCCAGACAGTGGGAATTCATCTGAGTAGTGAACTGCCTTGGTAAACTTCTGAAAGCCCTCTCTATGCACTCTGAGTGAGCAAACAGGTTGGACATCTGCAGCTTTGCCGTTTCATATGCCAGAACTTCAGCTGTACTGTAAAAGTTTGGAGGCAAAAAACCCTCCCCAAAAACAACAACAAAAAAAACAACAAAAGGCTAAGTCATGAGGAGAAAAGGCCAGGACAGTTCATTGAAAGTCAGAAAGGAGTGGTCACCATGAATGGCAACTAACACTTGAATCTTTATAAAGAACTGCAAGTGTCACTGTTCAGAGCACAGAAAACATCCCTTTGGTTCAGTTAAATGCTAGCGGGCTGGCAGGAACACAATTGGGTAGAGAAATCATCTTTCTCTTTCGCAAGCTATATCCTATGCATCATTACCAAAAGCATGAAAGAAGCATACGTCACAGTCAGTTAGCCCACATCTTCTTTGAAAGTACAAAAAATGCCCTGTTCTGCTTTACTTATTTATTCAAGTGCCTATGCTTCCACAGGAGGAGTTCTCGAAAAGCAGAAAATGAAAATATTGGAAACGAGACAAAAATATTAGGCAGGATTACAAGAAAATTGCTCTTGCTTCCTGACTATTTTATCCAATGTTTCAGATGCTGAATGGGGGTGGCAAAGCCTCAACAATAAAAGTGGGCTGAGCTTTCTGAAATAATTACAACCACTGGATGCTTGATTTCTTAATTTTTTGTGAATGTTGAAGCCTTGAGCACAAACACCCACTACTTCCTCTGAGGTCTTTAAGCAGTATTAATACAAAGACCAACTTTTCAAGTTGCATGTTTCTTTTTGTAATAACAGAAATGGATTCAGCTCCTTCACACTATTTGAAATATGTATTATCCAGAAGATTTGTTTAATGAGAAGAAATATAGATAGATATAAATTACATTCAGGCTTCCATAAGTATTTTAACTAATCAGACGCTGTACTACAGATGAAATCTTCACTTCCACAGATTTAAAGGGATCCATAGTCTTACTTTGGAATTTGTTTCTCCTCTTCAAGGGTCCTGAAGTCAGGTAAAAAAATTCAAATCAAACAAAACAAAAACACACCAAATGACTCTTCTAACACATCTCATGCAAAAAAAAAAAAAAAAGTTGTAGTTCAAGCAATACAAAATAGGAAAAAAATTTTCAGCTGAGCTGCCTACCTGAAGTCCATTAGAAACCTGCCCCTGTTGATTACCATGACAGAGAGAGAGAGAATAATGGTTCTTTTGTTTAGCATACACTTCAAAATGGGAGAGTTTTGATGTATTTTTTCATCTGACATAAATGTAATGTGATATTGTGAAGTGCCATAAAACTTAGTATGCACATGTTATCCACCAGCATTTGCAATAGTGAGTACTAGGAAGTAAAGAATCCTACAAAGAAGCTCTCACAACTTATTTTAATTAGATAGAATTAAAATATTAGTAACACTGAAATAATACACTTAATTTTATGAGGCATGACCAACTGTTACCAAGTCAATAGTGTTAAAATTAAGTATTTTGTAGAAGGTACACAATTCTCCCTATATGCCTAGGGTAAATAGTCATCCTGGTGAGTAGTGATTTTAGAGGCACCAGAGTAAAGTTTGCACGTACTTTGTGTTTATGCTTATATGTTATCACTAAACTTCTAAACTAAAGGTTTAATACCAACCTCCAGTTCTTTTTTTTTCTTTTTTTCACATGACTTTTTCTTAGAAGAATACTTCTTGCTCTTGTATCTGCTGGATCTTCTTCGAATGCTACCTCTCCCAGAGATCACGGATTTTTCAGAATGATCTAGAAGGGTCAGATCCTTCACAAGATCATTTCTGTTGTTTTCCTCATATTCCTCAGCGTCTGTGTCTTCATATTCTTCTGATGTCCCATCATCTTGAACATTATTGCCATGACCCTAGTGACAATTCAGGATATACAGTCACAAAGTCTTCTAAGCAAGGAGAAGGAAGAGTAATTTTTTTTTTCTTGCGAGTCCTGCTGTTTCACTTATGTGATCATTGTTGCCTGTAAGTCACATGTATTTCAGTCTGTAATGGCAGAGCAGCAGACTATGGGGTCCCGATCTTCCCCCACCTCTTTTGTCTTTTTCTTTAAGTAGTCTACGTAATCCACCCAGAATATAACAATTCTATGGTTATATCATAACTACATAGTCTGTAGTTTGAAGAGGAGGAAGCTAAGGGGAGACTTTATCACTCTCTACAACTACCTGAAAGGACATTGTAGAGAGGTTGGTGCTGGTTTCTTCTCACAGGTAATTGGTAGTAGAACTAGAGGGAATGGCCACAAGCTGCAACAGGGTAGATTTAGGCTGGATGGGAGGAAAAAGGTTTCCACAGAAATATTAGGCACTGGAATGGGCTGCCCAGGGAGGTGGTTGAATCACCATCCCTGGAGGTGTTTAATGGTCGTTTAGATGTAGTGTTGGGGGTTATGGTTTAGGGGTGGACTCTGTAGAGTAGGGTTATAGGTTGGACTTATGATCCCAAGGGTCTTTTCCAACCTGAATGTTTCTATAACTTCAACTATAACTGCAACTAGCATGTTTTTGACATATTGGACTATGTAAGTGTGAAACATTTTTGCAGGTAAAACCCCCAGGAATTCCAAGCTTGTGTCCATTCACAGACTGGAGTGACTGAGCAGCTGCCAGCAGGAACTACAGAGAGAAAGTGACTCCACATCCAGCATCTCACAACCTTGCAAAATGGAGCAACAACATGACTACATTTTCCCTTACCTGCTGCATTACAAGAGAGTAGTAGACTCCCTTCTGCAACATGAGTTCACTGTGTGTTCCTTGTTCAACCACGACACCGTTCTCAAATGCGGCGATAGTGTCAGCAGTCCTGATGGTAGAGAGTCTGTGGGCAATCACAAGAGTCGTACGTCCAGCCCGGGCCTTATGAAAAAGCAACAAAAGCAATTAACGTTAAGACGTTCAAGACAACAGTGCAGAAACAAAATGAAGTTATTTTAGGCATTTATACCATAAGCCCAAACGTTACAGATAATTTATTCTTCTAAAAGAAAAAAACTTTTTTTCCTTGGTTTCGTGTCTCTTGTTTAACAGTTTAAGAACAATTTCACATGCCTAATTCTGGCAGAGAAAACCACATTAATCTTATTAGACACACAATGCAGATATTAAAGGTTTTAATTAAGGTTATTTGACTTTTTACCAAACTTGAATGGTTTGAGTTACAGTTGCCTGTAATGTTTTTCCATGTGTGCACACACAGGAGGAAAATGCAGCGAGAACAGTTAGATCTTTCTCAAAATAAATCTAGGATAGCTAGTATACAGAGAAAGGATATTTTCCTGACACAAAGTCCATGCATATTTTTGAAAGTGGAACATTAGCACAGCCCTGACAAGACTTAGCAGGAAAGTATAGAGGAATGGGACACATCTGGGGTCAGAAATGAGTTTTAATTGATCCCTAGACTTTTGAAATAAGTTAAATCCCAAGTCAAGGCCCTGCTTTGATTTGGCAGGGAGAGGTGCTGAAGCCTCAGTCTGCAGGTTACATGCTCCATCCCTGTCCAGATCCCACATGCAGACTAGGGGCATGCAGCAAACGAGGACTTGCCAGCTGGCAGCTGCTGGAGAGGGTGATTTCCCTCCTCATTGATGCCTGGAGCAGACAGTGGCTTGGGGGTAGTGGTTGAAATCCAACAGGACCTCATGCAACAAGTAAGTTCTGCCTGCTACAGAAGTTGTACGTCAGATAGGCACAGGAATGGGGTGTGGAGATGATGAGGACAGTTTCAGTAGATGAATATTTCCATGGGGATTTGGATTCTTCTCCTACACCTGCCATCAAGTTCTCACAGGAGATCTGTCTCAGTGTGGTTTTCATTCCTGTGCCCTAGAACGCAGAGGTGCAGAGACTTCAACACTACAGCTGGGAGCTGTGATTAGAACAAGTAAAACATTCTAAAAGATGTAAAGTTATCTGAAAAACAGCAGACTCTCTGCATGTGACTGCTCAGAAACGGTATGCATTTGTGAGGTTAATTTCTCTGCTCATCAGTTGAGAAAATAATGGACAACACTAGCACCACTTTTCCATGCAGAAGTGTTGGGAAGAAGTTTATAAATCCCATGAGGGGACTACAGTGATGGACATGAAAAAAAGCTGTGAAGAGATGACTGAGTTAGAATTCAGAGCTCATTTTTATGTGTTCTGGGAGCATGCTGAAGTATGAGGAAAGGTATATAAAACAATTCTCTTAACTGAGTGTTGTCCCTCTATGTTACAGACTCAATGAAGCAATGAACTTCTAAAAAAGGTTAGAATTTGATCATGGTATTAAAGAACATGCAGATTAAAGCTAAACTATGGCTGAAGCGGCAATCTTTTAGTACTTAAATACACAGCAATAGTGTCATTTATATACAAATTAGATTAAAATTATTTTTTGCATCCACATATTATTTCAATATTAATAATATCAGTATAGTCATGTGAACATAACCAACAGCTGCATTTTACCTCAGATTTAAACAGACTGGCTGTGAAGGCAGTAAATTCTGTATTTCCCTTGCGCCACACTGGCAACTCATATCTGTGCATAACTACTGAAATGAAAAGCAGGATTTTTCACTTAGCTTTTAAAAAAAATACATAAAAATAATTATTAGATAAATGAAAAGACACTCCAGCCCAACTAGAAAGTTTTAATTTAATCAAAGCCTGTAAGCTCCACTGCATTTTGATGGAAACTGCTGACAAGGGATGGCTTTAAGGAAGGGGCAGTGAGCTGATGGGACTGGTACTAGCACTGAGAGCTCCGATCTGCAGTAGTGCTCACGTTAGAGCTGTAAGGTTGATCAAAAACACAAAGGAGACTCAGTGTTTTTATCTGTCTCTGCTTTCATTCTGTGATTTGCATTGAGTCTCCGTGAAGAAAGAATATGGCTAAATCCCAAGAGCTTTCTGAAATTCCTGAAGAAACTGTTCAATGAAGAATAAATGCTAGGAATGTTATACTATCTATTTCTCTTAACCTACCTGAAAAGATATCCAGTTCTCATACCTTGCCTTGAAAAAATGCCATCCACATTTCACCAGCCAGTGAACAACTGTGATTTGAGGAAGGAAGTGCAGGTGACCTAAGTTACAGTTACACTACTGTAAATGTCTCAGTAGTTAGTATATAATGCTAAAACTCCCAAATGGACATGATTCTTAAGTAACATTTTGATCATTTAAACTCCCTGTTAAAATACTGAAATTGAAATATCTATCCAAATTTTCTTTTCCAGTATTCCTGATGCCAGGGGAAACCTGCATTGAAAAATGTATGCTAAATTTTCTTAAGTGCTGTTGCACCATTTCATAGAGACTGGTAGTTTCAATAGTAGGACTCCTACCTTATCAAGAGCTGCTTGCACTATGGATTCACTCTGAGTATCTAGTGCAGATGTAGCTTCATCCAAAAGAAGAATCTTGGGATTTCTTGCTAGGGCACGGGCAATAGCTATTCGCTGCTTCTGTCCTCCGCTCAGTTGAGCTCCTCTTTCCCCCACTAGGGTGTTAAACTTCTGAGAAAGAAGAAAACAAAACAGAAGTTGTGGGACATCTCAAATGAAATCCTCACTTCTCTGTGCTACCGTAAGTACTCAGCTTCTAGACAAGACGTAGATTTATCTGGCTGACTTGAACATGGGCAGAGCAAACATGTAATTCTATCCATCCATCTAGCCTTTAGCAAAGCCCTTCTACCCCCATTACATATTTCACATGCCTAACTTTGTTTTTTACAGTATTGTTCTTTACTGCTTGCTCAGAGAGTGCTGCAAACCCTGTATTTTCTCACAACAAGGCTATAAAAGGAATTTATTTAGCTAGGACTGCCAACTTTTCCAACAGGGTTGGAATCACAGGGACCCACTAGGACCTGTAACATTGCCTCCTCTGAACCCGAGACACTCCCCTTGGAACCACAGCGTAGTTCCTATTACATCATTCACTCTAAAGCAGGAAGTCTCAAAGTCCACTGTAATTTTTTTACTTTATCGATGTTTAAGAGTAAACATGAAGAGTAAAAATAACTTCCTGAGAGGTAGGAACCTTGGAACATATTGACACACTAGAAATGAAACCTGCTTGATGGATGGGGACCGAGTTCTCTGAGGTAGTAGAAGAATTTGAAATCAAGTCACAGATGGGCCCTTTTTCCCACACCTTTTTAACTGCAAGAGTAAAACAAAGGACATATCCATTCCTGAGGATGTGCTTTGAATGACTGATCTCGCTTTCTTTCTCCATCCTGAAAGGAGTAAAGCACAGACTGCTAGGAGAGGGCTCAAAGCTGTGAATCTCAGGCAGAGGGACAGCTGAAGCTCCCAGCTTCTAAAAACAGCCTTGGTTCAGAGCATACTTGTTTACTTCCATCTCCCATTTCCTACTGAACGTGCAGACCACTCCTAAAAAAAGGTTTTGGATTTCTGGATCTTCTCTTTAAAAGCCCAACTCTTCCCATACTTTGTGAGATGGGTAGGGATGGTGATACAGCTGTGAACTTCCCTTCTTGTGAGTTAAGACCTTGATATTTTTTCCAGACTTCGGCACAATCAGACAAAGGCACAACATCTAGCCTAGAAAGTCCCTGAACTGAAAGCTGCTGGAGGCTATAAGACTGTTTTGGGAAGTTTTAGTACAACTTGAATTCCCATGTTCTCTCTTCTGGAAACAGGACACCAGCCTAGAGTGGGCTTTTTGCTCTTACACTCAAAAGAAGTTCATGAACTCACATCAGGCAGTCTAGATATGAAGTCAAAAGCATTGGCTTCCTTGGCTGCTTGCTCAATTTCAGCATCAGAAACATCTTCTCGGCCATAGCGAATGTTCTCAGCTATTGTTGTTGCAAACAAAACAGGCTCTTGGCTCACAATACCTATATTTTCTCGTAGCCACTTTATGTTAAGTGTCCGAATGTCTTGACCATCTAAAGTAATCTGAGAAGAAAAGTGTATGTCTAAGAAGTTGAGGAAATGCATTCTGTTCATAATAAATCAATTATTATTACTTAAGTATCAGCTAAAAGGACAAAAGAGAAAAATCATTGTCTTTAGTACAAAACTATGTTGGGGGAGAAGTTACAAGTGCAGTTTTTCCATCCACTGCACAAGTTAGAAAATGGCAAGGAGCACATAAACAGAGAATACATGACTTGGTTTTTTGTTTATTTGCTTCCCCCCCTCGCCCAGTAACCATCCTGTTCAAGCTGGCCTAGGCTTTTCCAGCTTCCCGCATAGTTTTTACCCTGTTCTCATGCTCCTGTGCCAACTTGCTGCCCTCACAGTTGTGGCTACCCAATTGCCACTGTGGCTATGTGCTTTATACCATATCACAGAAATATTCCAAAACAACTCAAAAGGAAAGAAAAGTTATTTTAACCTAGATAATTTGCAATGTGATCCTATCGACACTGACATTAGTACAGGGGAGGAACAGCAAAGTGAGGCATGGGGGCAGGACAGAAGAGTCACAGAAATAGTAAGTTTAAGAAAGCTGTGTTGATAATAAATAGCTGCCTTGATAAACAGTAAACTATTGTTACATAATATAGTATTTGAAATTCTTACCTAGTTGCAACTAGCAGTAATAACTGCTAAGTGACATTCTTCAAATATTAAGTATAAAAATAAAGTTTTCCTTAAAAATATATTATTTACTTTTCTCCTTTTTTTTCCCTTTGAAAGTTTCTTATGAGAAGAATTTATCATTTACTGACCAGATACAGATATAGTTTTTAGTGGTAGAACAGACATGTAACTTGTAACGACGGAAACTTTTGCTATAGGTTAGCAGATATAAAAAAAGTGATACAAGTAAACAACCATTTAAAATAGGAAAACTCTTTTTAGGTTTTAATTTACGTTCTATGAAAAGGAAGGAAAATACAGCAGCACTGTTTATAGAACCTTAAAATTGTTGATGAAAATAATCTTAAATTGAGATCTTGCATCTAATTCAAATTGTGGTATTTACTATTTCTCTTATACTACTGGAAGTAGTACAAGGAAGTTAAGTCAACAAGAGAAGACAGCTAATTTGAAATTTGAATTGTGGAAATACTGAACTATGCAGAGATATGCTCAAATTAAATAAAAAATAAAAATACAAATGAAGGTTCAGTCAACATGAAAACTCATGCTTATCTTAATAGCTCTCAGATTTTACAGTTCCCTTGCAGACACTCACTTCTCCCTGGACAGGATCGTAGAATCTCTGCAGCAATTGAATAGTAGTGCTTTTTCCACAGCCACTGGCACCAACTAAAGCAATGGTCTTCCCGGTTTGAACTTTCAAGTTCAGACCTTTGAGGATCTGGGAAAAAATAAATACGCTATGTCTTAGTTTGAGAAGCTTGGTTAAAGAACAGTCTGTCAAGGTAACCATAGCAATAATGAAGGCAGTAGTAAGGGTGCAGTCGGAAGTTGTGGCGTTATCAGTAAGTTAAGTGTACCCGGAAATATTCTGGGGCACTTATTGGAAAGAGCCTGCATCTACACTTGTGAAATGTATTAGCCTTTGAAACAGGGTGTCTACATGCAACCTGTTTTTTTGGGAATGGTCCCTGGATCCTTCTGGCTACCACACTAAGCCTGGGAATTATTTGAGAAGATTGATAACTGGAACAGTCCAAATTCATGCCAAGAAACATTTTGAGAGTTCCCTTGCATAGACCATTGCATTCCAGTGCTGGGAAAATTCCCCAGCACACTCAAATCAACTAATATGGACACAGCCAGTGTACTCTAAACTCGATAGCTAATTTTCTTCAATCTGTGTGATCTGGTTAGCAGGCTTAGGGTCTTACATTCTCTTACTGTCCTGTTTTCCAATGCTTAAACAATGGCATAACATTTAGTTATGGAATCTCATAGAAAAATATTTCTAAGGTGCTAAACAGTATTGCCAAGAAACAATCATGCTTTCTTTTATTATTAGAATATAGATGGCTATTTTGACAAGGTAACTGCTAGAAAGCCCTTAATAAATCCCAATCCTTATTGTTAACAGCCTCAGCAACCTGGGGAGTGGTTACAGATTAATGATATCTTTGTTACTATTTTCATATTTAGGAACATTTTACCTCAAAAGCTGTCCATGTCATATAAAGTAATGCTGTGTAGTTGCCAAAATACTTGGCTGCTATGGGAACTCCTCTTGTTTATACCAGGCTGATTTATAATTTTGCCTACACATGTTTTTGCAATGAGAGATTAAAATAATTGCAATATTGCTCTCCTCTCCCTGTGTTATATCCAGAAGGTTTTCTGTCTCCAAGAAGCTGATATCCTGGTGCCTGCATTATCAAGTAAGAACTATATTTCGGATACCGTAATTTCTCCAGATGCAAATAGCCAAAACCACTTAATAGGATATTTCTAATTCTCTTTTACCAGGCAAGGTGTTGTCAAGATTAAAACTGACACTAACTAGACTCATTAGATCTCTTTGGTTTGGTTTAGCCTAGACAGAGTAGATTACACTGTGTTGCATCAATTGGTTGAGAGACTGTGATAACTTCTGCACATTCTTGCTGATTCCTTTTTTCCCTACTAAATAACATTGATACTCCTATTAGGGAGAGCTGCTGACTCCGTAGATTTGGGAAGGATGACAAAATATTTCTTATTTCCCTTCCATTTGGCGTGCAGACCCATAAACATAGCTCATAAGCCTAAATAACATTTTTAGGAAGAAGGATGAAGAGTTGGTCTGTCACTTCTGATTTCTGAGCCAAAAGAAAGATGATGCATTGCACTGACTTTAGTCAGGCAGAAAGCCTAGCTCAGGGTCTGCCCTTCAGCAGCCCCAGTGCCCTGGAAACAGATTCAGTGCACAATGAGACAGACCTCAGCTGACAGGTGCAAAAACCCGTCTGAAGAAATAGCCACAGTGACATGAACTCCCCCATTCTCATGCCGTAATTGGCATGTCCACCTCTTAACTGTTGACATTTGAAATCTCTATTTCTACCTTTTTCTTTATCAACAGCAGCAAATCCCTTTTCCTTTCACCTTTGTCAATGTCTTCAAAAGGTTATAAATTATGGAATATGTTAAAGAGATCAAAACACCTCAATCACCACAAAAGCAGACCACAATGACAGTATAAATAGCACTGCAAAACACAGTTACTAAGGGAAGTTCAACTGGCAAAGAATAAGGACTTCTGTTTATTGAATAGCAATTGTAACATTTACCCAAAAATAACATTGGACTTCCAAATGTATATTTAAGATTATATGTTTCAATTAATTTGATGGCATATTGTTGTAAAGCCTATCTCACAGGTCATTTTTTCACATGGGATACCACAGCAACTCAAACGAAGCAAAGGACTGGAAAGAGCAAGTTTCTGGTTTAACTATGTAAGGTCTGTAAATTTTAATGACAGATTTTGAAAAAAAATCTTATTTGGTTTACCAGAGCTCTTGTTCACACAAAGTCAGACTAGAAGCAACACTTATCCTTCTTATCTTTGCCCAGCAGAGAAGAACAGTGAGCAGATAGTGGCAGTAGATCCAGAACTTTCCCTTTGGACATTATTTTTTTCCCCAGTAGTGCACCATCTTCCAAGATAGGAATGCATTTTACATTCAACAACAAAATTAAGATTAGAGAAGTAACGTTGACATAATATATGGAACTTCATTTCTGTAGATTAACCTAAAATGAACACTTACTTGAATATCAGGTCTGGATGGGTAGCTGAAATGGATGTTCCTGAATTCAATTTCTCCTATGAGCTTGTCTGGTTTATAGCCTCCCTTAGAACTGCTGTCTATGAGCCGTTTCTGGAGAGGTTTTGAACATAGGTTGCTGGTTATTACACGTTTGGAACTTCTATTTCAGCTGGATACATTGTTCTCTCTTTTATTTTCTCATCTGTTGGTTTACACTGTAGTGCACCACTTTAGAGCTGCTGCATTTTACTTGCAAGATGCTGAATGCAGGGGAACATTTGTGAATTCTGCTTTGGCAAATACAGCATGTTTTTCAAATGCAACAAAATCCACCACAGAAAATCTGTAATCGCAGAACTTAATTGTACTAACTTGCAGCCAAAACATGACCCTCAGTTATCCATACAGGAGAGTTTTATACTCACATCAAGAACAACGTAGCCATTTCTGCATGAACTTTCTATCCTCCTTGTTTAAAATATTTTATGTACACAGGTATCCAATTGTCACATAACACAGTGAGACCAAGGTAATAACAATGTGGAAACCCTTTTTCATGGTATCAGCAGCACTGCAGCTTTTCACCTTATTATAGCTTTCAATAGCACTACTAATCCCCTCCTCATCAACTCTCTCTCCCACCCCAAAAACTCAACCCCAGCTCAACTGAAATTGTGCATACATACATAAAAAAATATAAAAATAGTTTAGTGCCTTACTACTTCCCTGCTAGAACTGCAAGTCTAATATTAGAGAAAGACCTCATTCATAAATCTAATATACACAACAGGTTTCCCAGCATTTGTTGTAACAGAGACAGCTTTCTTGATATGAATGGAAATATTATAGGTTTCAGTGATAAGCATCTATAGAGTTTATTGTTTATGGGCTTTTAAGCATTTTTGTTAAACCTCTTCAGAAAAATTAAAGGGAAGGAGAATTCAGTCTATTTAAAAGGCTTATTTCTATTTAGATACTTACTTTATTTATAATCTGATATACTTCATAGGCAGCCCCACGAGCATTGGCCACACTCTCCAGATTGGGAGCTGCCTGGCCCAGGGAGAAGGCTCCAATAAGCACAGAAAAGAACACCTGTGGGAGATGGAGCGAAGCATCACAGTTAACAGTGATTGTAGAATCACCAGTGCCTGGCTGCTAAATGCCCAAGTCTTTCTAGCACAACCTTTCCAGGAAAATTAAAGCAAAAGGTGTATTTCCCAGTCGCTCCTGTCCACTCCCTGTTTTCCTGGGGTGAATGGCAACTGCTGATACATGCTATTGCACAAACTGCTTTGCTTTTTGATGTTCCTGCAATTTCTATAACTTACAAATAGAACAAACACCTTTCCAGATGTTCCCAAAGTGAAGAGGCTTGCAAAATTTAAGACAGATTTTCTAAACTGAAATCTCATCTATGGTACCAACACACCATTACCTTGACATGCTGTGAGGAACTATACCTGAGGACTCAGGACATCAAAAGTCACCCGAGTGTGAAAGTCAAACATGCAGCCAAATTTTTGAATGTTGTTGGCAGTCCGTATTACTTACATATTATGTATTACTACATATCGCTCCATAACCACCAGCTCTATGTTGTTCATCCTGCCCTACAGCAGGGTGCAAAACTAGTGAGAACAGTGAAGATACTTTGCCTCTACATTGACTACAGTGGGAATTCCAGGTGTCCTGTTCAAACTTGCTATATCAAAAGCTAGGTGAGTGCCTTCCTTTCAGTTCTTTTACACCGAGAGAGTCTCCAACAGCTGATTTAGCAAGCACTTGGCAGAAAACAGAATTATATACACCACTAACATAACTATTCTCTTGAAATTACAGAACATTTTTCAAAGCTTCATTGCTGTACTCACAATTAACACATCGCCAATGTTATATTCTTCCTCATCCGTGAGCTTGGTTCCATACCAAAATCCCAGTGCATAGGATCCAAAGATAAGAAATTGTGAAACACCAAGAGATGTGTTGGTGGTAATAGACTTTTTCATTCCAACTCTTCTAGCCATCTCTAAGTTAGCATCATATCTGAAATTTGATAAAGAAACTGTTAATTTGACAGGTACCACATTTTATTCTGATTGATATTTCTCAGTGTCTTTTTTTTAATTAAAAGGATTTTTGCCATAAAACAATTAAAGTCTCACAAAGAAAATACCTTTTTTAATTTTTTTTTTAACCAGAAAAACGATTAGGGATATAATTCTTTTGAATAAGTCTGCTCCGACATATACTGGCAACACCATCCTGCTGCTGCGGAAGACTTATTTAGAAAACTGTTGAGTAGCATGACTTCATTATCATGATACCACTTGAGCCATTTGTTTTCATTAGCCCTGACAGAAAACCTTGAGAAAGCCATCATTCAAGAGCTGTGCAGGAGTCACAATCTATGGCTTGCAAAATGGCCCAGTCAGTTTTTGGTAGCAGTCTCTGTGTCCCTAGTAGAACATATTCATAGGAGAGCCACCAGTTCCATGGGTTTTGTTACATTAAATGGAGTTAGAGCTGTCAGAGAGGCTGATAGGTCAACTCAGAAAGAAAGCAAAGGCATTACTGGCATGGAGTTACCCAGCTGTCAGTTATTTTGTCTATAGACCTCAAAAAAGAAAAAAAGAAAATAAAGTCTCTTGAAGCAGCTTTTACCTTTGGATTTTCAACACTAGTGTTTGCAAGGACCAGAAAGAAGATGGCAAGAAGGGAGACAGCTGATCTAGGCCATCTTAAGGCTTTTTTGTCTTTACTGTGTAAGCAGAAAGGGTCTTAATATTGTCACAACCTAACGATATACACCAGTCCTGTAAGACAGTCATAGCTCAGCCCTTGGAAACAGAAAAATGCAGGAGCAGGCTGTAGGACCCTGAGCTAGAGCTAGCATCACACAAGACCAGGGCAAACACGAGAGCTGAAAAAGACAGAAGAGGCTCATGGATCATATGGATGAGGTCTCCTGGTTTGCCTTTCCCAAATGTGTGGTAGTGGCAATTCCTTGTACTTGTATACTGAATGCTATTGTTTGTGCTTGTTATCTGATTACATACGTAAATAAATGTGTGGTCAGCCATATCCATCTCACCTTCAACATACAACTGGGGTCAACACTCTGTTAGGTCAACTAAAAGTATTATTTGCAAATCATTAAAGTGGTAAATGCCAGTGACACTCTTATTTAAGGCAGTTATCCAGCAAAGCTTAAATATAAGCTCATTAGTCAAAGATCAAATGGCAGGGCACATGTTCTACAAGCTAAGCAACAAATCGCATTCATTACTGAATTTGACTACAAGGTAAAGATAACCTTCCCACCACTTTCACTTTCAATTCAACTCCAGAACTCAGTCAGAGGAGAAATTTGAGTCTACGCTGCAGTAATAAGTATTCACCAATTAGGTCTTTTTACACATCTTTTTTTTGAGGTGAGCTGTTCACTTGCAGAGGGATAAAATGACACCAAGGAGAATCTCATTCCTCTGCCCCTTGAACAGCACCCACCACAACCACAAACTCAATCCACAGCCAAACTCCTTTTCTGTATTTTATATATAATTATTTCCAAAACTTACTTTGCTAATGCCTTCTGCTGTCCATTGAAAGCCACAACAGTCCTGATTGCCATTAAAACTTCTTCTGCCACAGCTCCTGCTTGGGCATAAGCAGACAGCTCTTTAGAAGTAAGGGATGCCAGGAGCTGCAAATTTGAAAAATAGATGTTACTGCAGCCTGTAGAAAGAATATCTACACTGTATTTGCAAATAAAAACAATTAAAATTCAAGGCACAAGACGATTTTTTTTTTTTTAGGAAAGAAGGGGTCATCTTTTTTCTGTGCCCTAAACTTCCCCCAAATCCAACCCATTCTCTGATTGTGTCCTCACTAAAGTGAAAAAGAAGAGCTTCATGGCTGATCCTCCCAAGCTGAGGGTAGCCTGTGAACTTCACTGTGATGTGTGTGGGGTCAGGGAGGTGGGCTGGAGCCGCTCTGGGAATGTCCGAGGTTGTTTAGAAATTAGAGAACCGCTAAATGTTGAAGTGAGAAAGGTAGTTACGCTACAGCTTCTAACATCCTTCCTAGCTTATTTGAAATGATTCAAGTAGAAAAAAATCCTAGTATTTTATATAAGTAACCACTCACAAATACAAGCCATACCCATTAACATGGATAAAACACATCACAGGGGAAAATGTTTTCATATCTGAAATGGAAACCCCTCCAGATATCTCATTATCACTCCAGTCTGCAGCAGCTGCATATATGTCCTAGGGTCTACTCTGTACATAGCATGAAACTTGGTAAATTATTTGAAAGACACGTGGCATTGTATGTGCATAGACTGAAAGAGCTGAAAGTTTTGCACTTGTGTTAAGATGGAAGAGTGAGGGTCACAAGCATGTGCCTGGGCTTCCTCAGTGCTCTGCACAAGGAGATTCTGGTGTGAGGAAGATGCTCCAATGAAGATAATCCTCTGCCAACACGGCATGATGACAGAAGGAATATAACTTACAGCTACATGCTTGGGAAGCCAGAAAAAAGCTACAGGAAGAACAGAAATTACACAGTAAGCATGGGGCCAACCTCCCACCCTAGAAATCACTCCAGGTTTCTCCCATTCTCTCCCTTTTTCTTGTGCATAAGTGTCAATGTTTTTCTGATTTGCTTTGCTTATTAATTCCCACACACTTACAGTTGACCAAACTGCTGCTGATGCAGCAAGCAGAGGGCTGACTGACAAAACCACCAGTGTCAGCTTCCACCCGTGGATGAATCCTATAATAATCCCTGCCAGAAATGTGGCAAGAAACTGCACAAATATACAGATCTTGTCTCCGATGCCTTCATGGATGGTGTTGATGTCACTTTAAATAATAATAACAATAAAAAAAAAAGATTTGTTAGCTTTGAATGTCTTTCACTCTAACTCCCTCCCTCTCCATTTCATGGTGTGTGGCCCTAACGTCAGGAGCTTTGCCATTTCCTAACTGGTACAGTGAAATTTCTAACCACAGCTACTGAACGATACCATTAGTCTCTTGTGTGGCCAAAACATGGCAGAAACATACTATTTTGTAGGACTAATTTTCTGCATTTTCTGACAGTCTCTGCTGTTTCTATGCCCTTCACTAGGTCACAAATGACCTAGTTTCCTTATGCAGCATCCAAATGGAGCAATACAAGTAAACAGCCAAACAGCCTCCTCACCTCCTGTCACCATCTCTAAATAATTCAAAAAAAATTCCTGCTGCTCATCTCTGATGTATTTTATCTTCTTAAGTTTGGCTACAGGCTCAGATCAAGTGTTATCTCCATTTTATCAGAAAAAACATTAATTGGAAGAATCTCTGTTTTTCATAGAGTTTTCTTTCCACTCAGCACATACAGATATTAGAGCCGAGAGGGGTTTCACTGAAGCTTCTCTTATGTCTTTCAGGACACAGCTCTGTCCAAAACTATCAAAATCGAGGAAAAAAAAAAATCTATATTGATGCATCAGAAAAAAATTTAAGTTGATGCTTATAGTCCCTTTACATCTTGGTGCATACAGTCCTCATTCCCAAGTCTATAGAAAAGCTCCAAAGACTTGAACTGACTGGACAGAGTCCAGCCCAAGATCTGGCGTGTAAAGGCAAACTCATTTCCACTCAGAGATTTCAGTGTTTGTAAACCAGCTGGAGACAGCAGAGCTATTTATCTAGTACTGCCTGTCACATACTTCATGGACATTAGAGAGGCAATGTTAGGCATTTTACAACAAAAATTCTTCCACTGGTTCTATCACAAAAACTGCACAAGTGAACCTGTAATGAATTCCTCCTTCAGAGCTGTAATATTTCACATTTCAGATTTAGGTGGGCTTGTCTGTTTGTTTTTTTTTTTTGGCGAGGGGAGAGGTTTCTTCTTTTCTTTTTTAAACTCTCTATATGCTCCTCAGTAGGAGATAAATGCCTGTTTTCTTTTAAGTATCATACTTAGTGGCGTAAAAAATGAACAGAGCCCTCACTCTGTCAGCCTGGTGTTCAGCGTTCCTATCTGGGTGGTATCAAACCAAGCCATCTCCTGATGGAGCACTGCAAAAAAGAACTTCTGCCGAATCCTTGCTGTCTGCCTTGTCGCAGCAATCAAAAACGTCCACACTTGGATAGTGCTCAGGATCAGCACGGCAAAACCAATTCCCACGTAGTAGTAAGCAAATCTGCAATAAGGGAACAAAAGACCATATGACCCAACTGCACCTAGTGAGAGAAGTCAGACACGAAAAGCAACAATTAGCCTTCATCTACCCCATCAAAGTAAATACTGAAGCCTGTGATACATTATTGGGAAGCCTTTTTTGAGAAGACAAACATTTGACTTCTGCTCAAAGGGATAACATAGGAAAAGAAAATCCTCCAATACTCTGTTAATGGAATAGCTATAAAGATTCTTACCTTGTCATTTCACCTTCTATATCTATGGGGGAAAGGAAAAAAAAAGTAGTAATATTAGTGAAATTATTAAATGTAGAAGATAAATCACAGCAGTCTAAGGTCATGAGTTTGGGAATGTTTTGTATTTTGCAGGTGGGGCTTTGTAAAACAAAATCATTTGCTTTTAAGGAATGTCTGCTAATTAATGTTTCATAACTGATGATACAGCAGGTGGTGATTCCCCCTTATTATGTCAAAATTGAACTCATAAAGAGTGCATCCAAAGCACTGCTTTTGTCTCAATGTAGCCATTAAAGATTGATTAAAACTACTGGGTCATTTGTAGCAGGATTCATTGTTATATATTTGTTTAGATATGCACCAGTGCATAGTCTGGGGGGGAAAAAAAACCCATACAAATTTATCCTCTGTAACAAAACATAACTGTTACGTAGAGAAGTCTAATTTTTTACCTATTGACTTATTAGTCACTCCACTTTGCACAAAGCTGTCTGTCATCTGTCCAAAGACAATGATCATAAGCGGCAATCCAGTACCGTTTGCAGCAGCTGCGATCACACCAACTGCCATCAAAAGGACATCCACCCAATCAGCATAGCAAAACTATGTGAGCATTAAAAAAGAAAAAAACACAACAAAAACACACACAAACAAGACTGAAGTTATTCTTGATAGTTCATGCATTTATCAGACTCAGAGAACACGCTTTGTTTTTATCTGCCTAGTCTAAGTAGCAACAATGCTCGAAGTGCAGATTTTTGTAAGAGGTTCCATATCTCCTTAAACTGGTACTCATTAAGATTGCTAAGAGAATGGAAAAAGCCCTAGAGTGTATGTCCTACATGTTTCTAAGTGATGACCTTCTCTGTACAACATATTGTATTTTGTGTTTCAGGAAATTACATATTCACCGAGATAATGCCTTTGATATGTAAACAAGAGTCAGTTATTCACCAGCACCTGGGTTATATCTCCCCGCACAAAATGTTTGCAGAGAGATTATATCTTAAGGCTTGGCTACCTTTGAACGTTTGTTCGGTTTAAAGGATGTGAATTTAAACATGCCGCATCTAGTTCTGGATGTGGTTAATCTGAAATCAGAACATTTTATTCCCGACTGTCCTAATCCTCTTCCAAAGTGTCAATGGACATGGAATAAAGCAGAGAAGAATAAAATTCGTCTTGGTCCAGAAAAAAAACCAAGTCCATGTGGGAACAGCTGTTGTATAGAAAACCAATACAAAATTATACCACTGATTCTCTTGGAGAGTAGACCCCTCAGATGCCAAATACAGAATAAATCCTTTATAAATAGGACCAAGGCAGGGGCCTGTGCATTATATATGTCCCAGATCAGCCTCAGCAGGGGTGAGCTTCATCCTTCAGCAGCACTAAGGTTGAACTGCTGTCCAGGCTACCCTACAGGCCAAATTTTAAAGAGGTCTAGCATCCATAGGTCTCAGGCTTCTTCTCTGGTTTTTGACTGCCTATTAGTTGCAATTCATAAACAACTCACAATGACAGCTAAAGAAAATATAAAGCAGATCATCAAGGCAGGCACTAACCAGTTCAAAAATGCCAACCATCCGTTTCTTCGGCTTGTCTGTTTTTTTCCTAGAGGAACATGCAAAAGACTGTTGAGTTTTTTCAAGCAAAGCCATATGAAACTATTTCCCCTCCCCCATACAACAGTGGCCAATGAGCTAAGCTCAAAGAATACCTACTTTTTTAAGTTGGGCTGTAACTGGTCACTCAGTTCAAGATTTTCATGTTGGAAACAAGGGTTGTGATACTCTTCTCTTGCAGATGCTGCGAAATAAAACCAATTTTTTTCTTTAATTATTAATTTATGTTTTTGTGTACCAATTTCTTGCAACTTTCACTTTGACTTTTCTTGCATTTAAAGCCTGAAGACTAGTTTTCCTCATGTTCTTGGAACGGCCTAGTAAAGTTTTCTTGAATTTTCCTTTCTCTTCAATTTATCTCCTCTACTCCTCAGAAAAGCTTCCAGCTGCACTTCCAAGATGGAAACAAACTTCATTTTTACATTTAAAATAGATTTATACGGAAAGGCTATCAAAGACTAAAAGCAAGAATTAATTAATTCTGCAAATACCTCCACAAGTGAATGCAGATCATAGAATGGCCTAGGCTGAGGGGGACCTTAGAGATCATTTAATCCAACCTCCCTGTCATGGGCAGGGACACCTCTCAACTAGATCAGGCAACACATGGGGACCAAACGGGGATGAGGAGAAGCCCTACTGAATTAAGTGAAATTGCTTATAGTGAAGGTTGTAATTGCTGCAAGTAACATGAAATAGATGCAAATTAACCTGGAGAATCATGTCTTTGCCTGTAATAACTACCTTAATTTTTTTCTTTTTATTGCAGCCGTTGCCACACGTCTAACTTCTTTTGCTAGGGGCTTTAGAAATCTGTACAAAAGAGGAATCCTATCCCAGAAGGCTTATGATTCTAAATGCATAAAGTAAGATATAATAAATGAAAGAAGAAATTGATGAGTAACCACAGTAGGGAGCCAGCAGTGAATTGCTTGGGGAGAAAAGGTCTCCACACAGCAGCCACTCCCAATTTACATTTACCTTAACTACTGACTCACAGCAAATAGAACTTTTCACACACTGCTTCTAATGCCAGTAAATCTATAAAGACAGGTTTAGACAATCGCTGGAGGATAATAATGTGTTTCCACCTTACTGAGCTTATTTCAGGAGCATTTTCATGCCTAGACTAGGACACACCTAAACAGTTTTACTCATGTAAGTAAATTTTGTTGAATTTGGTGGAATGATTCATGCATCAAGGTTTTCTAGGTGGTGGCTTTAGTTCACTGAAAAATCACTGTGTTATCTGCTATAAAACCACTATGGCAATCAGTAAAGACTTATACTGCACCTTCAGAATCAGAGCTGTGTAATATATTCCTCAAATGTACACGTAGTTTTCATGTCTGTGGCTTACCAGAATTGGACAGGTCCATTTCAGGGGGATTTTCAAAGTTCTCCATTATTGGTCTTTGTGGTACGCTTATTAGATGAAGTCACAGTAATCAAAACCTACATTAAAAAAGGGCAACAAAACACTTAGACATAGTAGACGCTTATACAGACGTTCACACTAAAATATTTGTGGATTTTCCCGCGGTCTCAACATTGCTCTACTTAAATATAATGACTAAAGAAAAATATATGTAACAGTGTGATAAAGAACTACTTGTAATGAGATAAAGAACAGTGCAAAATATTACAGTGAAAACTAATTCAGTAGTTTTAGCAGTCTTTTATGCTAAGTCCCTAGATCATTCATATACAAGTCATTGGGGATTGTCTGTTACAGAATAAAGGATTTCCCTCTATATCTTATGTTTGATTAAACTTATTGAACAGTTGTAAACCAATTTGCTATAGAACAGATTTCTCTATATATCTTATGTCTGATTAAAACTTTTTGAACAATTATAAAAGATGTGTTATAGAACAGATTTCCCTCTATATCTTATGTTGATTAAAACTTACTGAACAGTTGTAAAATGATCATGATTATAGCAACATAGATATCCTATGCATTATGCTGTGCACCAACTAAGCAGGACTTAGAGGCACTAAATAGCTGATACTCCAAGTTTCTCTAAGATTTCCTTCCTGGTGTATCACATATACAGGTTTAAAAACGAAAATTAAAAAAAAACCCCACAAACCACACATGAATTTGATGATGCAGGCTAAAAATACTAATGGTAACAAAATGCATAATCAACCTGATGTTAAAAATAAATAAATGCATTTTTTTAAACACCCTTTCGGATAGATTTCTGGCTGTTCCATCCCCTGTATTATTTTAGCTCACCTGTACAATAATCAACATGATATTAAAAAAAAAAAAAATAATTTTTTATAATTTTTTAAAACATCCTTTTGGATAGATTTCTGGCTGTTCCACCCCCCTCATGTTGTTTCAGCTCACTTGTACAATAATCGGCCTGATATTAAAAAAAAATTTTTTTTAAACATCCTTTTGGATAGATTTGTGGCTGTTCCACCCGTCACGTTATTTCAGCTCCCCTGCACAATAATCGACATGATATTAAAAAAAACAGAAAAAGAAATAATTTTTTTTAAACATCCTTTTGGATAAATTTCTGGCTGTTCCATCCCTCGTGTTATTTCAGCTCACCTCTACAATAATCGACCTGATATTAAAAAAAAATAAAAATAATCTTTTTCAAACA